TGCCTTTACAATTGACCTTTAAATTCTGGGGCTATTTAGACTCAATTCATTTGTTAAACACAGTGTTGTTCTTCTACTTAAAGATTATTGTAACTTGGTAGTGTTCTCTGTCATCTAGCTATGCTGAAGGTGCAGTGATCATGTGGTTTTACTTGTTCTTTTAGTTGATCTAACTAGCTTTTTGGAGGATATATGGTTAGATTTCAATTTAGACAGGTGACATCATCTAAGCTATCCCAAACTTTGAGACAAAATACTTTAAACTGTCACTTCAAAAAAAAGTACAGCCAAATTGCCATATTATATATGGTGAAATTTTCAACACGCTTAGACATCAAGGGATTACATACATTGAGATACTATGATGTGTTAACTAAAAAGGCTAAAATTAAAATACTCACAAAACTAAGTGTTGGCAAGGATCTGGAGTAAATGGAGCTCTCATATATTGATAGTGGCAATATTGTATGCTCAACCACTTTAGAAAAGTTTTGTTTTTTAGAATTACTTTAGAAAAAGTTACTAACTTAATTTCCTATATATATGCAAAAATAACATTAAAATCCCTGTAGCAATATCTTTATTCACTGGCATGCTAGATGCTTACTTCAGTGGGAAAAAATAAAAGAAAGAATGTTTGTTAGTACACTAGGGATTTTTCCATCCAAGTGTGTTATATATGTGAATTTCATTTGACATGGCTGACTTCCTAACTTTCTATATTCTTTTAATATATTCCCTGTCAGCATTATTTTATAAAATTATATTTAATGGATGCTTTTTATTCAATTGTATATCTGTGCCATATTTATTCCATTGTGTGTCTGTACCATATTCAAACACATATTTGAAGAGCACTTAATGTAATTCATTGTGTTGCTATTCTCTGTGGCACTATAATAAATTTCAATATGGCTCTGCCTTTGGCACTTTTATTTCTTAAGTACACAAACCTGGAGATTGAATCATTTAGTAAAAGTTTACAGAGAATTATTTTTTCTATATTATCAAACTATTTTGCAGACATTAATTATTTCTATATCATTTATTTACCTCATCTTCAAGAATTATTAAAATATTTACCATTTTGTAGGTAAATTTGCAGACAGCTGTTGTTTTATTTGAATTTTGATTTTTCTTGGTTTTTTTGAGTTGGAGTCTCACTCCTTCGCCCAGACTGGAGTGCAGTAGCCGCTCCTGGCCACCGTGGCCTCCACCTGCTGGGCTCCAGTGATCCTTCCACCTCAGCCTTCCAAGTAGGCAGAACTACAGGTGCGCACTATTATGCCCGGCTAATTTTTGATGTATTGTAGAGACGAGGTCTCACCAAGTTGTCCTGGTGCGTCGCGAACCTGCAGGCTCAGACAATTCACTCGCCTCGGCCTCCCAGAGTGCTGGGATTACAAGTTAAGCCTCCAAGCCCGGTCAAATTTTGATTTCTAACAGAGTTGAACAAATAAGTTTAGTGTGCTAATTTATGTATTGTGTGTGTGTTACTGTGTGTGTATTGATAAATGTTGTTTCAGCACAAGAAAGGTCTTCAGTTTCTTTTCATAAACCTTACTTAGAATTTCTTAATCAAACTTTTAATTTTAAATCTTATATATTTCTTGATTCTATTTTTCTTCATCATAGGTTTACCATTTTTATTTCCTCTGAATTGAATGGCATCTGTTTCTCTAACTCTTAGAATATATGGAGGGAAAATGAGACACTTCTCATTCCTGATGTTTCCTTCTGTATTGAGGCACACTTATTTCTCTAAAAACTTAGCCCCTGTTTCACACGTTTACTCACTTTCCCCCACCTCCCAAAAGGTAGGGTGACTTATCTTGTTGATGAGTTTCAAAGAAGAAACTGCTGCTTTCTTTTTGTTATCTTTTTGAGAGTTGGCATACATTAGAAAGAATACATCCTTGGTTATACTTGCCCATGGAGTTCTACCTCTTCTGATAAAGACCTACAGGAATCCAACATTTTGTCTAATTAGAGTGGCAATTTTGCCTAATTCTAAAGCTTAGTATTACAAAAATTCACTTGCCCAAAATACACCTTGGCGACAATAAAGATGTAAAAAAAATGCATTTTGGCTCCACCTGACAACTTGTTTATTTATTTTCTCAATTTGTGTAGAAAAAGGACTCTATTTTATCTCCTCAAGCAACTTGTAACTGGTGCATTAAACCAGGATTATAAAGAAGCTAACAGGAAAAGTAGATTCAGGTGCAAAACTACGCCTAAAAGTTTGGGTCTTTTGATTGGGAGAAGGGATTGTGACTTAACTGGCATGAAGTGACGCATTTTGCAATATTCTTATAGTTTATGCATAAATTTGAACTATAAAGATCCCATCAGGCAGCTATGGGTACTAACCTCTGATAATGTGGAATTTTTAACTTCCACAGGTTCCTATACATAAAGATTGTTCACAGGTGAGTGACTAATTTTACATGTGTGCACATTCATTTCTCCAGAGATCACACTGCTAGTGCTAGGTCTTAAGCAAAGAAGAATGCTTCAGCAAAGTCTAAATCCTTTGAAAAATGCGAGCTGAGCGAGCCTCCACAAAGTCCTGGGTCCTATGATTCTGGCAAATGCAGTTTGGGTAGTATGAGCCAACTAACAATCACACGAGGCACTCGGGAATCAGCAAATACTGCTGCAAGCTTAAATTGAACATATAATGGAAGTTTTCCTGCAAGCTGGTAATGATTTGATTACAAAAAAAGAATCTTTCGTATATTTTGTTTTTCTAGACAATAAAGGGTAGGACAATTATTTGTTGTTTTCCAGCACATCCACAGGCTCAAGAGTTAATTCTCACTAAGTGATCTCAATCTGTTGCTAAATGTGTTAAATGTATATGCTCTGGTCAGGGTTATAAATATCTTATAAACTGAAGTTTTCCCCTTTAAGTAGATGGTAGATTTTATGAACGAACTAATAAAAATGATGGAGGAGAATCTTACCATTAAAAAAAATATTGCCTCATTATACTAGGAAGGAGAAACAACTCAATTAAATTATTCCAAACCTAAAGAATAAGAAAATAGTTTGAAATTCCAGGTTTGAAATGTGTCTAGGAGTCAAGATTCCTTAGGAAAGTAAGTAATTTACTTAATGAAAAATGAAAAATGAAGGATGCTTCATTTTTATAGTCTTAAAAGAAGCATCAGAAAAATGAAAATAAAAAGATAAAATAGGTTAATTAAACTGGAATAAGAGAGAGAAAAGAATAGATTATAAATCAATGTGATAGAAAATGACAATTTGATGACCAAGAGTCTAGATCCAGGAAACTGTTAATTGTAATATCAAAGATGCTGAAAAAGAGAAATAGTACATGCTTCCCTCAAAGACTAAAAGACCTTAACAAATGGGAGGGTTTGAGAAGATACAGGCATTTTTCTGGGCCCTGAGAAAACATGAAAGAAATATACGGAGCAAGGCATAGAAAAGAAAAGACACATTAGGAGAGAAGTGGGCAAGGTGTGGTAAAAGCCCAGAATCTGGTCAAACAAACTGATGCGTAGATATATTCTGGCTGGGATTACTAAAATAAGGGAACTTAAATAAATAATCTTTGTTAGAACAGTGGAACTTTAGTATATTTTATATTTATTTTTCTTTCTTGTTTTAAATGTTTTAATTTTAGAGTCAGGATCTTGTTGTGTCATCCAGACTGGAGTGCAGTGGCCCAGTCATGGCTCACTACAGCCTAAAATTCTTGAGTTCAAGTGATTCTCTTGCCTTGCCCTCCCAAAGCACTGGGACTATAGGCATGAGCCACTGCCTTGGTCTAATTTTATGCTATTAGTTGAAGTGATCCCCCGAAATAAAATCTAGATCATTATTTTGTAAAGACTATTTTGGCAAAAGCGAAGAATAAGTAAAGAGAGAAAGACAACTAATTTCAGCAAACACTGCCATTTAATATGTAATATAGAGTGATGAGAACCAACTTAACATGGAAGCTAAAATGCTAGAAAGTCAAGGGAACATTCCTTGGAGGAAAAGGAGACAGCTGAATGATGCAAAACAATAGAGACATATGTTATTACTACTTCTCCCACCTCTACACATACACCCCCATACACACACAAAAGAAAAAACAGAAAGGCCTGCAAAAACTCAGGAAATACATTGTACATAGTGCTCTTGGTACTTACTGGTACTATAAGGTTACATGCTCAAAAACATCAACCACAGCTTCAGTTCAGGAATCTGCTGAGGGCAATTCTCCAGCTGAAAAACAGATGTGTGTGGGGGGGGGGGCGGGGGTGTAGCGGTTATGCCTTCCCTGTGAGGCAGGTTTTACACACCTAGGCAACTTCATTGCAATAGGTTGGGAAACTCCAATGACAACAAAGTCCTTTAAATTCATGATCAAAGGTCATTTAGGGTAGAACTGTGGTATTAAGCAAATACACTCACACTTACAAACAAAAAAACTCATGAAGATCAACAAGGAAATGAAAATATAGAGATTTTGAATAGAAAAAAAGATCAAAGGCATTTTGAGCAAGACCTACTGACTAGAATTGTCATTCTTGTTCTATAACTGGTTTTTTTTCCTTATTTCTTTCCTTTTTATTGTGCATGTGTCTCATTCCCTCAAAAATTAATAGATATCTGGGATTGGGCTAATATATCTTTTAGAATAATTATCAGTGGATAACTCAGTACCTCTCAAATAGCAGGTATTCAACAAGCTAACGTGCGATATTAGGAAGAGAGGACTAACAGTGTAGAAAATTAAAATTCCCATTCTTTTTCTATCACAGTTAGTAAAAAATATAAAACTAAATGATATTCCCGTCAAAAGATAAGAACACTAATATCTGATTTGCAAAATCCTTTTTCACTTCATCGAGAACATTAAATTAATTATAAGTAGAAAATAACTTTTAAATCTAGATATTATGCATATTACTAAAGAACAACAAAGAAAAATGGACAAAAAGAACATATTTTTATTGTAATCATTCATTTTTCCCATCTATAAATCTCCAAATTCAAGGCTCATCTACCCACCAAGACCTTTCTCAATGCTTTCTTCACATCCTTGTTTCTCAGACTGTATATTAAAGGATTCAGCATGGGGATCACTGTGGTGTAGAACACTGAAGACACCTTCTCCTGATCCAGGGAGTTACTTGAAGGGGGCTTGAAATACATGAAAGTGATAGACCCAAAGAAGATCCCCACAGCCATGAGGTGAGAGCTGCATGTTCCAAAAGCTTTAGACCGACCCTCTGAAGACCGGATGTGAAGGATGCTGTAGAAGATGAAGGCATAGGAGATGGCCACAGCTAGGGTGGGCACTAAGGTGTTGAACCCCGCAATGATAAAAAGAAGAATCTCATTGAGGTGCTTGTTGGAGCATGAGAGATTGAGGAGGGGAAGGACATCACAGAAGTAATGGTTGATGATATGGGATTTGCAGAAAGACAGTTTCATCATGGCACTTGTATGAGCCAAGGCAGAGAGAAAGCCCAGGATGAAGGCAACTAGCATAAGCAGTGAGCAGACCTTAGAGGACATGATCACTTTATAAAGCAATGGGCTACAGATGGCAACATAGCAATCATATGCCATGGCAGTTAGGAGGTAACCCTCAGCCACCACGAAGACCACAAAGAAAAAGAGCTGGGCCATGCACTCAGAATAAAGGATGATATTCTCCTTTCCAAGGAAGTTCACCAGCATTTTGGGGGCAATGACAGAGGAATAGCAGAGGTCAATGAAGGACAAACTGCTGAGGAAGTAGTACATGGGGGTGTGAAGCAGAGTGCTGGCCACAATCAGGAGAATCATGCCCAAATTCCCCACCACAGTCACCACATAGATTCCCAGGAACAGGAGGAAGAGGGGAAGCTGCAGTTCTGGCTGCTGTGTTAGACCCACTAAGACAAATTTGGTTGCTGTAGAATGATTTGCTGTAGCCATGCTTCTTCAAAGATTCCTGTGAAAATGGAAAGTAAGAATTCACCACTGGACCTTCACTCCTCTTTCAAAACAAAATCAAACCTGCATAAGGGAGGATGAGAGTAGTCAAATGACTGAGTCATAGTTTTCATAATTTCTGACCTTGAAAACTCTTCCCTCTCTCCCCAAAGCTCCCTGGGTCTCCTCCAAGTTAGATCACATAAAAATGTTCCCTGATTGACTTAGAAACTTTTACCTCCTGAAATTGACAGCAAAACCAAATGTTCGCATTATAAGGAGCAACTTGTTGCTGATAGTCATTTCCTGACAGTGAAACAGTAGAAGAGATTGATTTTTTTCAATTTCTCTTGTTTTCTCATGCTCTAATGCCTGCAGGCATCTCCCACAACATCTGTAAACAAGGAGCGAATGAAGCCTCAGGTTCAGAGTATTGAAAATAGTCTATTACTTCCAATTGGAGTGATGGTGTGTGGGGTTGGGTGTAAGGCAACTAATCATCACTCTGGATAGCAGAGGGTAACAGTACTGCAGAAATGAAATTCTTCATACGAGGGGCATCCCCCAAAACCTGGAATTCTCTCTTTTGCGGGGGTACAGGCCCCTTGTAGGACATTTGGAATTTATTCCTCTGGATCAAACAGTCAACCAAAGTTTTTATTTGGAAGTTTTAAGAAGGTTGCACCACAATTTGTGGAAGAAACATCCCAAGTTGTGGCCAAACAGGTAACTGGTTCTTTTACCATGACAGCATACCTGCCTACACCGCATTGAGTGTTCAGTAGTTTTTGACCAAAAACAGCATGACCCTCTTTATTCACCTGATTTCGCTCCAAGTGACTTTTTTTGTGTTTGTTTCCCCTGATGAAAAAAGTTCTCAAAGGGAAACATTTTGCCAATGAGGGAGAGGTGAAGAAGCAAACCAGCAAAAAAATGACAGAATCAGTAAAAAGCATCAAAATTGACAAGCTCAAAAACTAAGTTGTGGGAAATGCGTCTTGAAAGGTGTGTTGCATCAAACACAGAGTATTTGCAGGTGACTAAAGTTTAAACATGTAAGAATAAATGCACAATTTTTAATAAATAAATTCCAGGGGTTTTTTAAGTCCCTCCTCCTATAACATTTCTTGGTTCTCTGCTAAGCTGGGAGTTGGAAGCAGAATCTTCACCACTGGAGTCAGTGATGAAGGACATTCTCTTGTAACCCAGTGCTCAGCTATAAAATTCACAAAGAGTTCAGACCACAGCCATTGTCAGAAAAGTTGACTGGTTGGAACCCTAGCTGTGAACCACTATTCACCTATTTATGAGACCCTCTAAACCCCACAGAACAGCCCTTACTGTAGCAGGAAAGGAGGTTTTCGAAGGTGTCTGAGAAGAATGTTGCTGTTGGTATAATCTTGAAATTCTTGCAGCTTGGTACCCTTAATGGTTTGGCTCCTGGAGCCGAAGAAATAAGAGTATACTTTACTTTTCCAAGAAGCAGCATGGGAATCTAGTTGGTCCACCCCTTTCAACATGAGCTGACTCCTGGTAGAGCCATTTTAGACGAGTGTGTGTGTGTGTTGTCAGCATACTAGTTATTCTATTCTTTTATTAAGAAAAGGTAACCAGAGATAATAATGATTCTCCTTCTCTTCTTCCTCCTCCTCTTTTTTCTTTTTCTTCTTCTTGTCCTTCTATGCTTTCCTTTTCTTCTTCATTGATTGCATCTTATTTCTAAGTGCTTCACATGTATTATACTATTGAATTTGTCAATAATCCTTGAAATAGTAATTATTATTTATATCCTTGTTTTTCTGATAAAAAAAAAACTAAAACATATGGAATTTATCTAAAGATTAGTACCTGGGGAGGAGGGTAGAGGGCCAGAGTCATTTTTTTCCCTGCTAAGCTTTTCTATTTTTACTTAATTGCTGTATTAATATCTATTAGCACCTGTTATCTTCTGACTCATTAAAAATGGAGAGAATGAGGGACTTCAGGAAACTTGACCATTATAAGGTTGCAGAATGTTCCAGATTTCAAAACACTCCCAAAAAAGGAACAAATTTAGGTGATGTGCCACAACAGGGCATGGGGCTTGGGCGTGGTGAGCACCCTGGAGACTCTGCACACCTTGTTGTGGTTTAAACAGGAATAGCAGGGAGCCACACAAACTTCTTTATAGAGCCTTGGAGAAAATACAGAAAAAAGATAAGAAATGTTTGGGGTTATGGCAGAACCTGTTATATAATGAAATGCTACATATACAAAAATTATATAAAGAACATTTTCCCAAAGCAAGTTTAAAGGGGCACACTGAGGCGCTGAGTTCATAGCCTAGAGCAGCATCTCCCAGACAATGTTCAAAATGTTCTATCAAGGAAAATAACAAAACAAATAAGTGTGCTTCCATTTTTAAGTAAGTATGTCCATATATCTTAGAAGTTTATAGCGAACGTTTGTGCCTTAGAGTCTCCAAACAGTATAGCTAGAAAGAAATACGTTCAACTTTGTGAACTCAGCACTTTCCATATTGACTTGATTTAAAAAACCATTAAATGAGCTTAACCAGGTGAACTTATAGTCTACTCAGCAAACCACTGGAAAGGTTTTGGTGTCAAAGTGGTCTTTTATATTCGTCTAACTTTAGTGCAGACCAGTTTGTAACATTGGGAAAGTCATTTAACATAAATTCCAGTGTTTGAATTTGTAATAATACTGGTTTCAAAAAATTACCATAATCAACTAAAATAATGAATGCAAAGATTAATTATCTAAAAACACTAATCAAAATTTAATGAGGTACATATTTTAAAATATGATTGAATATAGAAAGACACATAATGTGGGACGATGGAAATATACTACCTTGGTATGAAAAAAAAAAAACGGACATGTTTCTTCTTTGTCCTATATCTTTTACCATGGTATGAATGATGAAAATATTTTAAACATTTGGGACTGGTTAGGTTTTTATTTATTTATTTATTTTAATTTTATTTTTTGAGTTGGGATCTCACTCTGTCACCCAGGCTGGAGAGCAGTGGCACACTCCTGGTCACCGCAGCCTTGGCCTGCTGGGCTCCTGCAATCTTCCACCTCAGCTTTCCAAGTAACTGGAACTACAGGCATGTGCTACCACGCCCAGCTAATTTTTGATTTATTATAGAAACATCTTGCCAAGTTGTCCGGGTGGGTCTTGAACCCAGGGGCTCAGGCAATCCACTCACCTCAGCCTCCCAAAGTGCTGGGATTACAGGCTGAGCCACTGAGTCCACATTTACGTCTCTAGATTTAGAAACTTTGAGAGGGGTTGGAGGTGCTGGGTCGTTTTTTGAAGGAGTTTGGGTACGGGAGGATTTTTATCCCAAAGGGACAATGCTCTGAGGCCAGGAGGAAATATAAGGGCTACATAAGCTGAATGGACTCTTGATCTACCTCCTAGTGGCCTGAGAACATCTCTTTAAGATAGATGAGAAAGTAGGAATTTATATTTAATACTCTGTCCAAAATGAATACTCTACTTGGGATTATATCTTCATCTCTTAGAAACGTGTTGTGTAGGCCTGGAGTACAAGAAGACAAATACCACTAATAAACACATAAGCCAGAAGCATTTCAGGGAAGCAAATGCTTCAGAGCCATATGGAAACCCCAGGCAGGCTCTCTGCCCCAGAGCTGGTTGAACTTAGACTGGGAATCATTCCTGCAGATTGTGTGGCCTAGGTTACAAAGATGTAACAAGGCAAGATTCACAGAAAAGGAGAAGAAAGGGTATAGCCATGCAGAGAGAATAGTGGGGTAGATACTCCTGAGTAAAGATAAAATGTTGCACGCAGGTTAGCAACCTTGTTAATCCCAACTGCCCTTCTATTAGATATGATGCAATTACCATAAAGGAAACTATACACTTACCTTGATCCCGTAACAGAAATTGAAATTCTTAAAAATTGCTCACTTTGCTCATGTCAGAGATCCCTGTTATAATTAACAAAGAGCAAAGTCTCTCCCACAGACTCAAGGACTCAAGGACTCGAGTATTTGGTTGGCTAAAAGTGAAACATAAAAAGTTACCTCATAATACAAACTCTAGGGGCTTTGAAGCAGATCATTACCTCTAGCTTCCCTAATCTTAAAAGCAAGAAGGTGTCATGATATGCACCTTTCATCTGAGGTTTAGTGAGTTTAGGGATCTCATTAGGGATACAAAACACACACAAACACATACAAATCCCCCAAGACCTATTGAGCGTAGAGATTACTGGAGTGCTCACCATTTAATGACTCTCAGCAAAAATGATCATACCATGTTCTGAGCCCCCTTTTGCTGCTGTCTATCCCAAGAGTGATAAAGATCCTGAAATAAAGCTTTTATTTTTTAAATGTCCCAATGAAGACATTTAGAGAAATTAGAGTCACTTTTCACAAAATCAAGTCTAAATTCAGTTACTGGCTCTTGACTAAGATTTCATCAATGAGTAAGAATTTTTTTAAAATTGAAAAAACCAAGGACAATGTAAATCTTTTCTAAAATTAAATTTATTTGATTTAAAGACTGTCTTTTCCAAGGCTGTCAATTTTAGAATTTAAAATGTTGTGGGGATTCAAAGTATTATTTTATATTATGGTATGGTTCTTACAATAGATAGTAGTTATGCTTTATGGTTGCTTGCTTATTAATTTGTGTATTGTGTTTGAATGCCTTTACTTGACACACCAAATTTTAGCAATCTTATAGTGGTCCCTCATTAAAATTTTTTTTGTACTGGGAAGCTAGATTCTGAGAATTGTAAAGTTGATTAACCTAGACAGAATGTAGATTGTCTTGTTTGACCTTCATGTGAAAGGTCAAAAATCTTTTAAGACCTTGAAAAAGGATTCCAAGAAACCTTTTCCACTGAACCAATCTTCCATTACCAGAATTCAGTAATTATTCTGCCTCTGTTCCTATACTATTTCCTATGACTACAGTTTATCTCATTCAATGGCTTAAACAACTTTAGTCCATTTTCACCATTATACCTGTCTAAAGTACTCGTGCTTCCCATTGCAGATCACTTGATGCATGTGTTCTTCTGAT